GATGTGACTTATTGCCGTTTAAAAGAGACAGGGTTTGTTCGACTATGTGTTCGTATTTTTGTTTTCAGTTCTTGTCGCATAAATGTGCACCCAGACACTATTGAGATTCAGAATGCTAATAAAACTCATCGAGTGACACTAAATGGGCTGAATATATCATGCATGACATGCCAAAATCTTCACCTGGTTGATAATGAAACTTTGTCGTGCAGATTCAATGCATCATGTAGTAATCCAACGTACGGTAACATAACGAAACTTACTAAAATGAAGAGTAACTTCATCGCAGCTGATTCCATTCTTTGCAAATTTTGCCAGCAGAAATTAGGAAACACGAAGTAAGGCCTCCATTTTAAATTACAAGCTTTAGAGATGTTTCTTGTACCTTTAACTTTCAGAAGTCTGTTACTGTTGAGGAAGAAGGATTCTGCATTGAAGATGGTTACTTCTGTCATCCAACTGCTAATAGCCCTGGCAACGTAACTGCTGACTCCGTAAATACGCATACTTTTCCAGTTAATTCAGACTTGGATTCTCCGTCCAAATGTATGTTTACTGGTTTAGAATTAATGATGAATCGTTCGTTGATTGAACCACAGTCCATTGAATTCAAAAGAAACGACTTCTTTCATTGTTCCAGTTGTTTAATGGCTTTGGGAAAAAAAGGTACGGATCAAACTTCGTTGTTTTTGGTAGGAAATTGATATATTAACAAGTGGAAAAATACTTTTTCGAGTAAATTTTAACCCCTTGTTATTTGCAAAAAAACTTGGAAGTGAGCTCTGTGATAAATGTTCACTTAATGAGAATATATTTGCCACCTATAAAAATCGGCAGTAAGCTACGATTCTTAAAAGTATACTTTATAAGTAGAAGTTTAGAATGATAAATAAAATTAGTTCCTCATTATGTCGAGCTCATATAAACTTTATTCTGAGCAATCATTTCTCTGATAACCACTGTATTTGTAATAAAAAGCTTTCAATTACATTTTGTTTTCCGTCATCTCTCTTTAGCTGTAATTTTTGGTTTGCGTTTACTTTTATCTATGAAACTCAGACCAGACGCCTTACGTTCACTACACATGTGCCTATTTTCCCTCCAAAATCCAAAAATTACGAATTCGGTTATTGACATTGATAGGAAATCTTCATGAAAGAATAAAGTTAAGGGAATAAATATGTTCAAAGAAATAGAACCCTAAATACTGCGGGAGAAGTTATTTGAAAGACGGTGTGGTTGTAGTAAATAAAAGCTCACATAAAACGGATTATTTTTTTCGTGTTCATCTTGATTGTACAGTTCTTGACAGGCTCATTGATAGTTAACTTACAGAATTCCTTTTTAAATTCAATGGTGGTTGTTGATGCTGTCTTTTTCTCTCATATTTAAAGTACGGGTCCCTAGTTTAGGCCTTAAATCTCAAATAGTCTGATAACTTAGTAGAGTAACATATGCTGAATCTTACATTAAGGAAATGCCTAGTACTTACAAAACCAACAAATACTCAAATAACTATATTAGTTGAAAAAAAATAGGTTGTTTTATCCTTAAATCCATGGTTTTTAACACATCCTAGCATAGATTATTATCCAAGTTAATCACTAAAGCAACTGAATTATATTTCCTGTTTAGTTTTATATTAGCTTTAATATTATTTCGACTACTTGGTTATAGTTTTTTTTTTTTACTTTTGTCTGTATTGATTTTAAGTGCTATAACCTAAATTGTCATACATTTTATTGAAATTCCATGTCATTTATAACTGCATTGTTTTTGGAATAAATGAACATTTTACTCTGCCTATGTGTATCAACTTACTTAGCAATATACTCTATGGTGAAAAATAGATACAGTAAAAAAAAGCATTTGAAATTCGACTTTTTAACATTCAGATCAAGGAAGGTACAAACAGGGAAAATTCCTAGTTCTCTGATCTGTATATTTGTAATCGATATTATTATATATATTTTTCTGTTGTCTATATCCTTAATTTTATATTCTCAAGCAACTCCGAGCCCATAAATCATTCAGCTTCTCTTGATACATTCATGCAGTTGTTTATTATCACTGTAGAGCTGGTTGACTAAATTATCCCAGCTCATTTCGGTTTTATTGACTTTCGAAGCCTGTTTTATACGAAGAAAAACAATTTTTAACTACAATTGCATAAATTATTAGGAAGAAAGCTAGCCGAGGTCAAACCAAAACAGTTGTTTATAAAGTCATTGACTGTTAATGTGAGTCATGTAAATTAAAAGCAAATTACTTGGTTGAGGTTCCCAGGACAACTCTGATAAAAGAGCAGTTAGAGAGACTGAGTGCTATGCTTCAGGGTCGTTCGCCGTAATGGTCCGGGAGCATTTACTCTCCTCTACCTTTCCCATGTTTTTGAATCCCAGTATTCCTACTTATATTGTAGTGAAGGAGAACACCGGTGAGGTCAACCGAATTGCATTTAATGAAAATTATAAAGTTACTCAGTAAAATCGGAAAACCATATCGTAAATCGTTCATTTGCAAAATATCAGTTCATCATATCGAACTGGACTGTTCCTGTTGCAAAACATCAATCCATTGTCACTACTATTCATGCGTTTCATACAAATTCGATTGTTTTCTAACTCTTCCTTTCTTGATCTTCCCCCACCTTCTGCTGCCAGACATTAGGTTGACACACACGTCATATACTACTTATAAGTAGCTCGCACCACAATATACCTTTCCATTGCCTTCCTGAACCATATTCCGATATGTTTTTGGTTACTGTCATTTTGTCGGACTAATTGCATTATAACAACTAAGACCAATGCATTCTATGCTAGGCTTTGTTGTAGTATTAATGTTTATCTACGTTTCCTTATCAATGTAATTAGCTTTTATTACAATTACATTTCTTTTTAATTTATGTATATATATTTTTTTAGTTTTATATTGCTCTCAAGAGTACTTCGTATTTTGGGCTAATTGTTTAAGTTTACAAATAAAAGAAATTGACATTGATGGCGATTTTATTGGTTACATTGAAAAGCCATTAATGTAAGTTTTAAATGTAGTCTTATCTCTTTTATGGGTATTTTTAGTTTCATAATATGTTTGACAGTCTCATCTAGATAGATTCATTATTTGTTAACTTTTTTAACTATTTTAAAATAAGTGTAAAGCAGCTAATTATTTCGTTTTTGAATTATTTTGTAAGACCATTATCTTATAATCTTGTCTCGTAAATTTCTCACAGATTACTACCGACTGTGTGTTTGTTAAGTGTGTCAGTAATTTAGAAATTGAATTATCAAAGCTTGATACTTAAGTAGTATTGAGAGTTCGTTTTCAACGAGTGAAAATTAGATATCTTTGGTTTCTGTTCAGTGTATAACAAAGTATTTTAGTAGATATTAACCTAACCATAACATAAGTCATATGTGTCTAGGTACATTTTAGATTTTTGCTGGTGAAAAAATCATTCAAATTTCCATTGTACTGAATCAAACACTAGGTTTCAGATTTTCAAGAAACTCAACTATGTACAGCGTAAATTGACACTAGTCAACCAATTGGTAGAATTCAGTCAGTCAGTCAGTCAGATGCAACGTAGAACTTCGTACGTAAGTACATCAGTTCATGTCACCATACCACATTAGCACAGAGATGTAATTGTCAATTCAAATCCAATAGTAGAAGAGGTAGTAAAGGTGTTAGGAGTATTCAAGAAGTATGATTTAATGAGAAAAGTTTAGAAAGTCAAAACTAGAGTTGTTGAAGAACCCAGAAGATTAGGATTTGAGAGAACACAAAGCATAAATGCACCGACGCCATTGCGAACGATTTTGAGCCATGTCATTCAAGGTCTCTAACCATCAGTGACTATCGTCTCGCGGACCCCAACTAGGTGATCGACAATTACCGACATGGCTAAGTCCACTCGTCAATGATTTCATGTATTTCTGCCATGTTTTAGTTTGAACGCCCCTAACTTTCTTCCAACCTACTCCTACACTACAAAACAAAGTTTGTCGAGGCAGTCGGTGGTTAGGCATACGTAGCACATGTCCCAACCACCTCAACTGATGAAGTTTCATCACTTCATCTATTGATCTGCCATTCTTACCTAGCACCCGATTCCTAATAACAGCGTTGCTCACTCGGGTGTCCCACGATATACGAGCAATGCTTCGAAGACACCTGTGATCGAAAACCAGTAACCGACGAATATCTTCTACTCTCATTGGCCATGTTTCACAGCCATAAAGTAAGACGGAGCGAACCATTGCACAGTACACTCGTCCTTTAGTCAGCAAACGGATATCTCGCCTTCGCCATAAGTGACGCAGGTTGGCAAAAATTGGTAGAATTACGTATGCACTAACCAACTTTTTGTATCATTTAACTAAAATCAATATAGGAATCGAGAAATATGCGCATCAATCTAGATTTGTACCCATCAACACAGCAGTACTAAATGAGAACAGTTAGATCGATATCAAAGAAGTCAATATAGAAGTATCACTAATGGTAAAAGAAAGACTAAATATAAAGTCTATAAATTGAAGAAAATCGATAGAATCAAGGAACAATAGAGTATAAAGTTATATTGTAACTGAAAATCTAAAAGAAGGTAAACAATGAATGCATCTATTCTACTATATCTGATCCTAAAACATATCCCCCAACCTATCGGTTGTGATTATTCTACAATTTTAAAATAAGCTTGAAAGTTTCTGGAATCAAGTTTTTCAATTAGGACATTCTAATCTTTAAATTTAACGGATTATCTGCCTAGCGTTTCTTTTCATCATGTTCTTGCACTTTATTTTCGTCCTTAGTTTGCACATTTTGTCATCAATACAAACGTGTTCTAAATCGCTCTCATCAAATAGCTGTGACCAATTAAAAACGCAGTTGCCCAGATACCCCAAACCTACTGATATAATGTTGCTTTCGGTTAGATGACATTCATTGATTAGGCTAGTTAGTTATCCAATCTATTAACGTGAACTGTAGCAGAAGAGTAATTCTCAGTAATGTGAAACATTAGTTATATTACACAGACTACTTATGAGTAGTATGCAGTCTATATTTTAATTTTTTCTTTCAAATGAGGTTCAACGTAGTGGTGGTGGTGCAAGTCGTAAAATACTCCCCTTTCAGTGTACTACCGTATTTTGTTTTAGTCATTTTGAATGACCTGACTCCACCTGAAACCTCTCTGGGGTTACCGCCCTGTCTCAATCCCAGATAAAGGAGAGGGGTTGGGCATGGGTTTAGCGACTCCATCCCGTGAAAAACATATTCCTTCGGTTAGCGGCTTCTCGTCTTCGATTTTAGTGTCCTGAGCGGCCATTGTTCGACTATGTATTCTATCGTTGCACATCGTCGGACAATCAGCATTCTACTTATTGATCTTACTATTCAGAAAACAATTCATACAATCATTTAAGTCTCAATTCATAAAGTGTCTGTAAAAGTATATGAGATTAGACAAAATTTATTCTAAACTTCACTACGGCACAAGGAGCACCATTCACGTGATCTAAACTCTGAATCTGTATCTATGGAGATTTTCACACCATGATATTGATGTCCACTCGCTAAAAAAATATTTTTTCACAAAAGAATAAAATGTTAGAATATTCCAAAGTATCTTTTTCAGCACTGTATATAACATGTAATGGAATACTGCGTTTGATTTTAAGCACTCGTTCCCCAATACATTTCCTATTATGTCAAATCCAACTAAATTCAATGGGTACTAAAACAAATTAGAATTTTAATTTACATGCGATCAATTCAAGCACTTGTGATGTGTCCAGTCAAGATTGACTATAATCACCAGCACATATCGAATTAATGTCAATTATCAAGTTAAATCCCTCCGTACGTGAAATATCAGAAGGACAGTTGTGATTGAATTTAAGATATATTTATTGGCAATCCTGTGGTATCGAAACAATACCCAGATCGTGTCAAAGTTTACAGACGAGACTACCGAGCGTACATGAGCAAGCTCAAGGTCACCAGTAACGGAAAATGTGTTTTTGTTACAGATAAACAAAAGGGTACAGTAAAACAATCACCGGTACAATTGATTATAACAATAAATGTTTCCATTACATCAATAGCGATCTCTTCATAAAAGTAACTCATTACACACTCAACAGCTAATTAACCACTGAACTGTTTATTGTTGGCGGTATAATTCTGTTGTTTTTCTGGTCATATTGAGCTTAAAGTAAAAAATAAAGTTCCACTGAGGGTTTCAAATTATGGACTAATTGTTTTATTGTTAAGAATACATATTACTTAGTATCCTTTCTTCAATGGTTGATGAAAGTCAGTTAGTTGTTTTGTTCATATTTACTTAAAATAAGATATCATTTGACTATAGGAGAATATTAAAGAACTTTTGTATCAATGAATAGTCAGAATATCACACTAACCGAATACGTCTAATCCCTCGTTGTTACTATATATATGATACTCTGTACTTAGTGGATGACACGTTGAGAGGTTCTCATCTCACCATAAATAAGCGTTAGCAGTGAAATGCAGATATCTCCAACTAACAATGTAGTAGGTAGGCATCTTGGATTTCATCGGCAACCAAATACCCAAATATGCTACAACTTGATATTTAAATTGACCAAATAAATGGACTATAATATTTAATAAATGTAATGAAAACTTGAAATTGTTTAAATTAATTAATTTTCCCGCCACTCGAATATGAGCCGCATTTCATGAAACAAACGAAATATATACTGTTACCAATTCCTCTTTCTATAAACAACAAATAATGTTATTGAATTTTGAATTTTCATTGCCTAGATTATACATACAGTTCGGTAACTGCTGTTTAATCTTATGATATTGTTAAATTGTCTTTAGATTTTTAAAGTCATTGATTAACTAGTGTCACCTGCTACTTAAGTTAATTTATTCAAATATGATATAACTGTCGATGTTAAAAGCTACTTAGAGTTAAACAGGAATAGTGTGACTACTTAACGCGTATACTTTTTTTACGTCAATGTCACACCATTAACAATTCTCTAACATGAACTTTCCCAATATGGTGTGGGGTTATTCAACTTTCTTAGTATCCATAGAACACAAATAGAATCTTATCACGAATGCTGCTTGTATCAGTTGATATTAAATGAGATTTGATAAACAGTTCAACTTTCAGCTGGTCACTCTTCTATTGTAAGAATCATTTTAGCTGAGATTATTCAGTGATATTTCACTGAACCCATATAATAAAGTAACTACTAATCAGTGTAAATTATAATTAGTGTACCTACCATCTTTTTTACATTGTCGTTTGCGTCGAGTTTTATCAGCTTTTCAATCAATTGTAAATTAACATTGAAAAAAAAAATTAATTCAAGGACATTTTCTTTTCAATATATTTTTTTTTGTCAGAGCTGATGAAATGGAATTCTATGGTCTTCTAATTGATAATTTAATTAAAAATAATCAATATCGTGTTATTTTATCTGCTATCACATGGGATGGACTTTTAGACTTTATGTTAGTAAGTAATTTTATAAGAGAAATATTCACAATTATTGATGTATGTATGTAAGTCTTGATATCATACTTCTTAATTGGCAACATCTCTACTCTGATAAATTTACATGAATGAGCAGTCAGCCACGTAAAATTTATTAATAATGTATTTTACTGAAGTAGCCCGCTTATAAACTTCCTTTATGTGAACGAACGACTTATTTGTACAGGTATTATATTGTCATAACTAATGTAAGTAACAGTCAGTCAATCAGATGCAACGTAGAACTTGGTACGTAAGTACATCAGTTCATGTTGCCATACCACTTCAGCACAGAGATATAATTGTCAATTCAAATCCAATAGTAGTAGAGGTAGTAAAGGAATTAGAAGTAATCGGAGAGGTTAGGGTTAGAATATATTATTCAAGAAGTATGATTTAATGAGAAAAGTTAAGAAAGTCAAAACTAGAGTTGTTGAAGAATCCAGAAGATTAGGATTTGTGAGAACACAAAGAATAAATGCACCGGCGCCATTGCGAACGATTTTGAGTCATGTCATTCAAGGTCTCTAACCATCGATTACCAACATCTCGCGGACCCCAACCAGGTAGTCGACAATTACCGACATGGCTCAGACCACTCGTCAATAACTTCATGGATTTCTGCCATGTTTTGGTTTGGCCGCCCCTAACTTTCTTTCAACCTACTCCTACACCACAAAACATAGCTCGTCGAGGCAGTCGGTGGTTAGGCATACGCAACACATGGTTTCATCAAAATTTATTTGGATTCATATAAAAATTACATTCTTTTTATAAATACCACTTGAGACTTGCAGGTTCGATCCCGTGTAGTGGTTGTAAACGCTCATCCATAAGAATATCCTCTCCCTTGTTCACCGAAACTAGTATGATAAAAACCGGTAATTGCTTACTGATTAGACTTTTTCTTAATTTCAACCTCGAGGTTACTGCCGGTCCCAAATCCTGATAAAGCAGGGGTTTGGACTTAGAGTTAGCGACCCCCATCCTGTAGAAAACTGACTCGCTAAATAGCGCTAACCAGAAAAAATAATTCAAACCATTTAAACTCAGCCCTGGGAGTTCGAAAGTCTTCATTTTGAAGAGTTTTAACACCTCATAATGAAAGCCGAGTTTCTTCTGAATTCAAGAAGTCAATGCCCCTTCTGATAACCAGAGCAACCATTAATATAGGTACATGGAATTCGCGTACATTGTGGGAGACCGGGATAGTATTTCATGTAGCTTCGGAAAAAGGAAGCAGACGTCAAAAGAATAAACAGCAGTTGGTTAGGACTGGAAAGGAAGGTCCAGGACACAGTTGGTGGCCTATGCCTCCACGAGGGCGAACAGGCATAAAACAAACATTAGTTGTGGTGGTGTTTCGTTCTGTGAGCTGGTTGTTTTGGTTGTGGAGCTTTCATTGTTCTCCTGCTCAACAACATCATCAGCACAAACTTCAGATAGAAGAAGTGAAGCATTCGAATTTCTCCACGTTTGACCTGTAGCTTGTTCTGCTAACCTCGATCTTGGTTGGTTGTTGTTGCCCTTTGACCTGTCGTTGTTTGCAACTATGTTTTGATTGCCTCCCTCTTTTGATCTGTTTCTTGATCTAGTGTCACCTATGATTTTGCTGATTGGTTGATAAATTGGGTCAATGTCGATGTGTTTGTTGATTGCTAATTGACCTGAGTGCCAAGCTTCTAAAAATTCTCTAGTGTTCTTTGTCCTCCCCCTACCCAGTATTTCCACATTGTTCCAATCAAATGTGTGTCCATAATTGTCGGTATGTATTGATATAAGCGAAGCGTTGTCGTGGCGTTTGACTGCTAATTGATGTTCACGTAAACGGAGCTGAAGAGGTCGTCCACTTTGTCCTATGTAGTGTTTTTCACAGTTTGAGCAATTGATTTTGTAGATGATATTTGGTTTTTCTTCCTTTGTCATTTTGTCCTTTGGTCTACATAGGATTGATTGAAGTGATTCTGTTGGTTTGTGTGCTACACCTATTCCAAATGGTTTCAGTAGTCGTGCTGTATGCTCCGATATGTCTTTGATGTATGGTAGGATGATGCGTTTATTTGTTTTTTGTGCTTGATTTCGCTTCTGATGATGGTTTCGGTTGATGTTTTTTGATGAAGTTGCGTGGATAGCCGTTTTTTTTGGAAGATAGTCATCAGTTGGTTTTCCTCGTTTTTTAATGCTTCGTATGTGCTGCAGTGTGTCTTCGCTCTCTTGAACAACGTTTGTATGCAGTTGATCTTGTAGGTTCTTGGGTTGTTGTTGTCGTAGTTGAGAATTACGTCTATGTGGGTTGGCTTCTGAAATACTTGAGTTTCTAGTTTTCCTGTGTTAGTTCTGGTGATTAGTACATCCCAGGAATGATAGGCTGTTGGTTGATTCCTTTTCCATCGTGAATTTGATGTTGATCCGATTGTAGATGTTCTCCAGCTCATTCCACAACCAAAACAACCAGCTCAGAGAACTAAACACCACCACAATCATCCACCTAAGCTACAAGTTTTCTCCACCAACTCACAAACATTAATCCCAACCTATATTCATTTGTTCACTTAATCCTAATAAGGAGATAAATTGTGATTAGTAAACACTAATTCTCATATTGATTTTTAATTTGGAATTTATTGATTTTATGATAAATCTGATGAGATAGAGAGAAAAAAATTTTTTATATATAAGATCACAAGACATTATTTTCGTAATTATGCAAAACAAAAAATTCATCATTTGTATGTGCGTGTGTGTATATATTGTCAACTATTTAGACCTGTATGTGATGTGTTATCTTTCTTTGTGACACAGATAACCTACAAGCCTTTAGCTGATTTTTCTTTTAAAAAAAAAAATAAAGCAGTTGCATTATTAACCGTACATAAAAAATACACTTAAATACTGTCATTCTTTTTTCTGGCACTATTAATTAATTAACAAGGCAGTGAGTGTTATTATGTGTGAAACATTAATAAAATAATGTAATGTATAGAGAAATGACAAAACCTGAGGTTTTTCAATTGTTTGTTTGTTTGTATATGGAGCTGCTGATTCATTAAAATCTTTAAAAAATCTTAGTCTTAAAAAGATATAACTAGTGTGTAAAGTATGTTAATTGTTAGTTTTTTTAAATCTGTTCATTGATTTTTATCAAGTGAATTTATGATGCTTTAAAAATAAAGGAACAGTTATTACATGACGGCGTTGTGATGATTGTTAAGTCACTCATTGAAATGATGAATCGATCAATGTTAGACCACCATTAGAAACCTGGAAGCATTGGACGGCTGTTTTGTTCTGGCATGGGACTCATCAGCAGTGCTTATATACGACTCCTGCACCTCGCCGGATTCGAACCCAGGGCATTCGGTCTTACGCGCGAACGCCTAACCTCTGAACCATTGAGCCGGTATCTAACAATGTTAATGTCTAGGTTCGATCAATCCACGGTCTTGCGCAACCTCATACACTGTCCTCGGTAGTTACTGTCTACACCCGAACAGGTTGAACTTCACTGGTCACAGCTTCTCACTAGAACTCGGAGAGGATTCCTCATGGAGATAGTCACTAGCGCACAAGATTTGAGCGCAAGACCGAAGGTCCTGAGTTCGGATCCTGTGAGGTACAGGAGTCGTGGATACGCACTTCTGATGAATCCCATACCAGGACAAAACGGTCGTCCAGTGCTCCCAGGTTTCTAATGGTGGTCTAACATAGATCGATTCATGATTCCAATGAGGGACAATTATTACCTATATAATATATATATATAGACTAAGGTTAAAACTATACGTACGACGGTTCGTGAAGATTGTTAACTGTCACTGAGATTATGAACCAACCCAAATCAGCCATTAAAAACAGGAACCACAGTTTCGTCCCAGTATGAGTCTTTTCAGCTGTGTACACTCACAATCTCACTGGAGATCAAAAATAACAACCTCCACAAATCTTCATATTAATAATTTATCATGTGCCCACTTGCGATTCACTTCAAGAGGAAGTTTTTCTGAGTTCCAATGAGAAATTTTAACTAAAGAAGTTCAACCTTGTCAGATGTGAGACACTTATCCACCCAAGACAATAAAAGTTTATTACACAGTATCACAAGTCGATTGAAAATAGACATATAAACCACATTGGATACCAGCTGAGTGGTCTAAAATCTCTTGTCGATGAACACTACCAAAGAGTCTTATACAAGGACAACATCAGTCTAATCATTCCTGGTTTTCAATATTTGTCTAACTTAGATCGGATAGTGATCTCGATAGGTTAAATCTTTTGACATTTTCCAAACTTTACTAATAGCAGAGCAATTTATAGTTAATTGATCGTTAAGTTGGTTTTTGTCATAGAATATAATTACCTTGGAAACTTGAAAATTAATGACAATTCAGGTGACGGTTATATAGTTCTAGTACGCCGGAATTCTTCAAAGCGAGTGCATAACTACGTCGATTATAGTACTTGAGACTTTCAGGTCTTGAGCGAGCACGTTAACTTTTTCTCTATTTTGTACCATTTCATACACCGAAACTGCAATAATTCACTTAATTTTTCCCACTCGTAAAAGCCACAGTAGGTGCGATGACCGACATGTACGTTTTAATCGATGTAAGAAATACAAGTTTCAGATATGCGATAGATGTAGACACAAACAAGTTCGTTGTTTACCGTGGAAGATATAAACTCAATCTATGTGCAGTTTGATGAAAAGGAACCTGAATAATATATCCTACAAATCTCTACAAAAGGAAATTCGTTAACATAATAGATCCTAACTATTTTATGCTTTAGCATCGAAATGCACATTGTTCTCTTTCAGTTGTTATAATGACAGTTGGAATTCTATCCGTAGAATGAATTATTTATTAAACCAGACTTGGAATATCTCAATTCATATGTATGAGTGAAACAGGCACAAAATGATTATATTTGTTGGTCATTGAGAGTAGTGAATTTAAAAAGAAAACTAAGTGTTTCACTATTAACACATTCAGTCAGTCAGTCAGATGCAACGTAGAACTTCGTACGTAAGTACATCAGTTCATGTTGCCATACCACATCAGCACAGAGATATAATTGTCAATTCAAATCCAATAGTAGAAGAGGTAGTAAGGGAATTAGAAGTAATCGGAGAGGTTAGGATTAGAAGATATTATTCAAGAAGTATGATTCAGTGAGATAAGTTTAGAAAGTCAAAACTAGAGGTGTTGAAGAATCCAGAAGATTAGGATTTGAGAGAACACAAAGAATAAATGCACCGACGCCGTTGCAAACGATTTTGAGTCATGTCATTCAAGGTCATTAACCATCGATTATTATCATCTCGCGGACACCAACCAGGTATTCGACAACTACCAACATGGCTCAGTCCACTCGTCAATGACTTCATGGATTTCTGCCATGTTTTGGTTTGACCGCCCCTAACTTTCTTCCAACCTATTCCTACACTACAAAACAAAGCTCTTCGAGGCAGTCAGTGGTTGGGCATACGCAACACATGTCCCAACCACCTCAACTGATGAAGTTTCATCACTTCATCTATTGATCTGCCATTCTTACCTAGCACCCGTGTCCTAATAACAGCGTTGCTCACTCGGGTGTCCCACGATATACGAGCAATGCTTCGAAGACACCTATGATCGAAAACCAGTAACCTACGAATATCTTCTACTTTCATTGGCCATGATAGAATAGTGTTCAAATCAAAGAATTAATATCCTGTTAATAGAGAAATAGTGAATCTTTCTTCAAAACTTAACACATTATTTGTATCAGATTATATTTATTTGAAAAAACTAATTCACATTTCGTGTTTTTTTTTCCTGATAAAATTATGCCATTATTAGCTTTGGTTACCTGATCAGAAAATAAGATTATATACAACTGCTTTACAAGATTCTACTTCACCGACAATCGATGTCAATGTGAGTTCATCAGGAAAAGATGAACAAAATCCTGTACATTCTTTGAAAATTGAACCAATTGCTTGTCGTCGTGTATTTTATCAACAACTTTTACCAAATAATAATTGTTCATTGTAAGTTGTCCGTTTTTTTTTAAAATTTCTTCTACTGGTATTAAAATTAAGTTGATATCTAAGCATCTTATTATTACATTCTAGTAACATTCAATACATCAGTTGTGATAGAAAATAATAAGCGGTGTATATTTGGTAGATAAACAACAATTGTTCATTCCAAGGATTTGTTTGACTTGCGGTCCGATTATATTGGTGAAGCTATATAATGTTATGTAGTTGAGGGCAGTCTCGAGGAGACAGTGAGCTTAGGTTTTGTCCTAATTAGCACTCATCAGGATGAACCTGCAATCTCCGGTGGACTGATGCTGCCTGTGGGGTTTGAGTCCGGCACCACATAGCTCCGCAGTTTGCGACGCTGCCACTAAACTATTTAGGCTGTAATTGACCTATAGGAATGGAATATTTACATTGGTCGATCACTGGTTGCGGGTATGCCCTGTTGACAAGTATTCACTAGCACAAAATATAAGTCCAAGGTTTCCTATTAATTACCTCCAACCATCTGAAATCAAAACAACGCATACGATGCTAAGTTTATTAGACTGGTGATCACACTGAAATCTGATGATCAGTAGAATTCGATCAGCCAAGCATAACATCAGTTACTATTTAGTAATCAAGGCAAGAAAATGTTGGAAAACTACTAATTGAATGATAGCTATAAAATGTAGTAAAGTAGTAGTCTATTTTTAATTAAACTCATTCACGTTGCTGAAAAAAGCCAGATAATGTGTGGTTTCAAAAAATACCAAGTGGTTTTTAGAGGATCGATAAATATTAAGGAATTTCCCATCAACTTCAAAAATCCGTTGCCGATCACAAAGGACTAGAACAATTACTGTTTCCTCTTAATTAGGATATTTTCTGCATTTGGCAAGTTGCTATTGGTTAATACTAGCAGTTGTAAACGTTTTACAATGAAGTATCCGGTATTTTGCCAGTTGGTTTATATCTCATGACACTGAATAAATAGGTTGAGTATCATCGACGCTTTTATTCAGTAGATACTGTCTAAATTTGTGATAGAGGTTAGCATTTACCACCGTTTAAAATGTGGTACTACCCAGGGATTTCATTAGTTTACATAATTTTTTGTGCGCCCTAAACGAATTACATCAGTTTGTTGAAACAAGATTCGTCAAAGCTGATTATCTACTAACGAAGCTGTATAACTTCAAACTCACATACGAATTCGGCTAATATATCAACTATAAACAGATCAGAATTTGGCTCTTAGACAGCGTTTTTAAAACCACCAGGTTCAATATCCGAACCCCAGTACACCTATTTCGCTTCGGGTTACTGAAATTTCTAACTGGCATGTCACACTGTAGCTCAAAGCCAAATAAAAAAACTTACATTTAGAAAATTACGTACATCGATATTTTTAAATCACTGATTATGAAGTTTTCATTAAGTGGATATATAATTATTATAACTGTAAACAGCTCTTTCAGAATGAGATCGTACTATTGACAAACGAAATTCCATGATACGCGCTCGCCAGCTGATTCGAAGAAATATATAAATTAACTGATTGTATCAATGTTTAGCGGGACTATCTCGTTAGTGACTGCTGCTTATTTCAATACTCCAGCAACAAAACATAATCTTGACGATACTACTACTCTCTAAACAATCATTCCAATCTACATACTTTTTGTTACCAAGACAGTTTTTTTTTGTTTTTTAATCACAGGAACACAACACAGTTGGTTGATTCATGGCGCAAAGACTTTGGAGTCACATTAATCCATATTCCATGGGAAACGTGCATTGGATTTTCAGCGTGTCTAAGTCAGTTTTCTTCAAGAGTCGCACCACATACACGGAAATTAGATGATGGACCAATAATGGGATTCACTGTAAGTTTTTGTAGTAAATCTCATTTAAGGTGACCAATCATCAAGTGGTTTATGTATTGCTTTGTTTGATGTGTATAATGTAGTTCGAAATAATTCAATGAAGCTGAACGTTTGCTTTTGCATTCAGTCAAGAAATAAATGTAATCTAGGCAATATTGAGGGAAGTCTAAATCCTCTCAGTATTGATCATGCATTTGCACGTTTGCTAAAGAACGCGTGTGGGACTTGCTTGTTTGGGAAAAAATATGTATTAAACTAATTAAAGTCTTTTTTAATTTTTTTTCACCTTTTTTAGTCAGGTGCTGTCCCATTTGTTCACATACCTAATGATTTCGCGTAGTAACGTCTATTGGAATGATAAACTATCAACGTGAACTTGTGTAAGTGCAACATTGGAGACTCACACGCTTTCGTATGGGGGAGAACATTAAATATGTGGAGTGCATTTTTTTGTACATCTTGATTCCAAAATGTATTTATTACCAATTAAGCTTATGTTATGAAACCATACATTTTACTTTTTAAGAATGCTCATTTTTCTTTGGGAACCAAACAACCTAACAGCCACCTGAGGCTTTCGCAGTCTGTTCAGTTAAACATTATTGAATACAAGATTGGGTGCATTACAAAACTTATCGTAACGGAAGCTAATCAGCAAACTAGGCCCAACCTTGAGCAACCGGACTGGTATGACCAGTTGAAAAAACGACTAATCTGTAAGCATATCCATGTATTTCTTAAGTTACAGTCATAAATACCTCATCTGAAAACCTTTTAAGCATTACAATAGGGTTGCCAAGCCACAGAAAAAAATCTTGTCCGTTTTGTAAGATATAACATATAGTTTACTTGGAACTCGAGTAAGTTAGAAACTGACCAATTACGTCCGTTGAATAATTTCTTCAGCTTTTCGAAGCCTGACCCAGAGTAGGCCAATATTCAGAATTAATATCGAACCCCTTAGGATCTGTTGGATTCGGAGGACTTCGTGAGAAATGAGCGACACGATCTGGACCAACAACATTGAGTGCACCAGAGCGAGAAACCTAAATACGTATAATTTGTTTCACCAGAAAGCAGAACTGTTAGTAGAAAGAATTTGCTAAACTGAAAACAATAATGTGATTTAGTTGATAAAGTGCACAAAACGTGGGTTCATCACATGTTTGATTCTTGTTCTACTGTATACGGACTCGGAAGTCGAGCACTACCACTTACAAGTACAGTGACTAAAATTTGACCATAGATACCTATATCCAGTAACTAAATTCTTTTATAAAAAACTGCAACTCTATTACACAAAAGAGATGCATCAAAGATAACTGTTGTCAAATTGCTATAAAAATCTTCCATTAGGAGCTGTATTAAATCAGTGTTGTAGAGTGAGGTGGAATAATGCGTCGTATCCTTGCTTTTTGACCAGTAGCTAAATATCTTGATAACTTGTAACCTGTAAGTACGAAACGAGATTCAGCTAAAGAGATCGTTTCTACACCGAGAAATATCCCATCAGGAACTGACCGACGATTAAATCTAAGTTTCTTGTTTTTAATGCTTGATTATAAGCACACCAACCTTTGAGTTGCATCGTTTCGATCTACCCTATTTTTGGACTTGCAAAAAAATGGTTAAGAAATGATTACTTACTTCAGCAAAACTAATTGGTAGAGTGTTTTTCCATTTGGTATTTTGCGTTGCAGATGACAGTGGGACAAAATTTGACGGATCAAGTTGTGCTTCTATGAAATATAAACTTTAGGATAATAGATAACCTACCTTGTTTATGTGATAAGGTTGCATGACCACTGAGAACAAAGCCCGGAGCTAAAAGTTATGTAAACAGTACTTTAGTACAACATGCTAAAAGTTTAGATCGTTGTGCAAAATAGTTTACTTTATCATAGAAAAATCTTAAAAATTAGATATGGTTTTTTTCCTCGGAACGTAATACTACAGAAGATGACATCAAACACAAAAGTAAAATTGTATATCAATCTACACTAGCATAATTTACATCATAAAGTCTGAAATTATCATGGGGAGGAGTGAAAATTATGCACGGTGACAAACTAAAAGGTAACGGACACAAAACGATGAAATAAGAGATTATGAAATATTATACGCTTGCACTAATATAGAATATCAACTGGCTACTCTAACAACTATAGGTAGTGATTAACTTGCAGACCCCTATCAATGAATCTGTACAGTACAGCAGTGCTCAAACCCAGTCTTGATTTTATTTTCAGTGACTGATATCCATCAGTCCGGAAGTACTCCGCACGTAAACTTACTCTACACAGTGCATCGTAGCATTTCGTCATATGCTCTAAATGCCAGCATCAGCAATGGTTTGTTTCCCATTCGGTTTTACAGTACGAGAGAAAGATACCTATCACCGAATAAATGAGTTTTACACACATTTTCTATCGTTAAAGATTATACTCCACGGGCGCAAAAGCAACCAACAGGTGAATCGGTCAGAGCATTACATTTTGAATCCGCCCTCCAATATTACTTTATATTTAAAAGAGATATGAAACGCTAAAAATACTAAGAATGTCTGATTTCTGTATAGTCAAATTATGTTACCCGAAGGTTTTACTTCAGCACCGATTACTGACGAAAATTTCGGACTGGTCTTTGACTAACCCATAAACCAACTAATTACTATCAAACACTTAACTGTCTGAAACAAATACCAGGAAATACTCACAGTAAAACAGAGGACAGGTACTACAGGATACCATTTGTCTGACATACAGACTTCATTAAGGAGTCAAGCTTTTATTCTAAATTAAGATGGATGCGAAACATGGCCGGTGAGAGTAGGAAACATCCGTAGGTAGCTTGTCTTTGATCATAGGTGTCTCCCAAGCATTGCTCTTATATCTTAGGGCAACCAAGTGAGCAATGCTGTTGTTAGAAAACGAGTACTCGGTAAGGATGGCAAATCAACAAATGAAGTATTGAAACTTCAGTTGGGGTGGTTGGGACAAGTGTTACGAATGCCCAACTACCGACTGCCTCGACGAGTGATGTTTTGTGGTTTAGGAGTAGGTTGCAAGAAAGCTAGGGGCGGCCAAACTAAAAAATGGCACAAATCCATGAAGTTACTGACAAGTGGATTGAGTCACGTTGGTAGATGTAGACTAACTGGTCAAGGTCCGCGAGACATTACAACGAACTTCATCCAATGACGACGATAAAGATCAATTCTACGAGAGGCTGCAGTCAACCGTCAACAGATGCTCACCAAAGGATTCGACAATTCTGATGGGATACCTAAATGCCAAGGTTAGCATGGATAACACTGGATATGAAGACATCATGGGACGACATGGACTAGGAGAAAGGAACGAAAACGGTGAGAGGTTTTCAAACGTATGTGCCTTCAACAAACTGGTCATCGGTGGCACAATTTTCCCATACAAACGCACACACGAAGCTACATGGATTTCACCTGACCACACTACTCAAAGCCAAGTTGACCATATCTGTATCAACAAAACGTTCAGATGGACCATGGAGGATGTGAGAACCAGGAAAGGAGCTGATATAGCCTCAGATCACCACTTGCTGGTCACAAATGTTTAATACGGCCTTTCTTCGGGATACCGTAAAATCTAACGAATTCAAGATAGCCCTCAGCAATAGATTTCAGGCCTTGCACGGTCTACTCAATGGAAAGAAAAAAACTATGGAGAACAATTAGAAAGGGACCAAAGGGGCAATCACTTAGACATGTCACGAGGTTCTGGGTCACAGAAAGTACCATCACAAGGAATGGATCTCTGTTGGTACTCTTGAAAAAATTGAAGAAACGAGGGACAAGAAGGCAGCCGAACAAGAGCAGAGAAAGTTAAGGCACAAGTTGAATACACATAAGCAAACAGGCAAGTGAAGAGCATCGGAGCCGATAAACGAAAATATGTGAAAGATCGAGCAAAGGCCGCAAGAGAAGGAAACTTGAGACAAGTTTACGATATAACAAAGCTTTCTGGAAACTATCCCAAACCAGAACGACCAGTGAAAAGCAAGGAAGGCAAAGTAATCAGAGGAATAGGTGGGTAGAGCACTTCAAGGAACTCTTGAATTGATCAGCTCCACTGAACAGACCCAACATCGAAGCAGCATCTACGGACCTCCCAGTACTCCACATTCTCTTCAACAAGATTTGAAATGAAGAACAAATACCAACAAACTGTAAAGGAGGATACCTCATCAAAATATCAAAAAACAATCTCAGCAGGTGCGAGAACTATTGAGGCATTACTCGTTTCTCAATAGCAGGCAAAGTCTTCAACAGGGTATTGTTAAACAGAATGAACGACTTCGTAGACACCCAACAGGTTGGATTTCGTAAGGATCGATCATATGCCGACCAGATCGCAACATTACGGATCATTGTGGAACAATCAATTGAATGGAACTCACCACTCTACATCAACTTCATTGACTACGAGAAAGCCTTCAATAGCGTGGATTAAACTGCAAAGTCGTTCACGGACAGCTGACAGACTCGTTTAAGGTGAAGACCGGTGCCACGTAAGGTTGCTTACTCTCACTATTTCTCCTAGTGATCGACTGGATTATAAAAACGTCAACATCTGGAGAAAAGCACGGTATCCAATGGATAGCTAGGATGCAGCTGGAAAATTCGAACTTCGCAGATGATCTGGCTTTTCTATCGCACACTCAACAACAAATGCAATAGAAGACCAGTGTAACAGCAGGTTTCAACATACATAAAGAGTAAAGCAAGATTCTGCGATACAGCACAACGTGCGCCAACTAAATCACTCTTGATGGAGATGCCTTGGAGGACGTTAACACCTTTACATATCTGGGCAGCATCATCGACGAGAAAGGTGGATCCGATGCAGATGTGAGGGCGCGGATTGGCAAAGCAAGGGCTGCATTTCTATAGTCAACCAAAACCAAAATCGGGATTTTCAA